TATATATATATATATATATATATATATATATATCCTCCCTAATAAATGAAAATAATTTTGTCACATGTCATTAACTTGGGCACATGTCATTTTTTGGTATTTTTTAACAAATGTTTTTTCCATTTGTCATTTTTCTCATTTTTTTTTATCTTTTCTTAATTAACACATCATATTTATACCTCAATTAATAATTTCCTTAATTGAAAATAACCAATAAATTACAATATTATTACTCATATAGTATTTAACTAGGGAAGGATCCCGCTTTGCGGGGGTCAGAAGGTGTTTGGTTGTAAAACATAGCAGCCATGGAGTTCTGGACTGTTGTCAACCACCAATCAATTATAGAACTCATGCCAGGTTTATTTCTATCACAAATCTTTTCCTTCAAGGGAAAAATTGTCTACGAATGTAACATATCCACACAACACAGTAGAAGCAGAAGCATATCCTCTTTATTCAAAAGAGGAATATCAAAATATCAACCCTAAATAAAATAAATTACCAGCAAAAACACGAAAAAACAAAAGAATAGTGAACCCTTGTATAATGCCAAAACAATTTCAAGCTATAAGGAGCCACCAGGGTTTCACTTTGAATGGAGGCTTGGATTTTTATTTTGTGTAGATATCGAAAGCAAGAAACTCAACCATATCTGAAAAATAACCAAGAAGATCGTTAGTGTTTTGGATCCAATGAAGAAACAAATTCAAGTGAAACATGCGAAAAAAAAAAAAAAGGTTCATACCGGAGTAGTCAAAGTAGAATACTATATCATCACTTCTAATGTCATTTTCTCACTCAATCCTACCCGTCTGTTCCTTTCCTGACCTTAATTATTTTGTCCATACATGTAAAGCCCCCATCACTGTGTTCACCTACGTGTGTCAGATACACCAAACCTTGGGCCTCACTTCTAAAAGCAGGACCAAAAGGGGAAAAAACGTTAAATGCAGATAAGAAAAAAAGGGTCTCACTTAACTCACTTTACTTAAACTTGTGGTTATCTTTGTACATGGTCATAGCATTGTACTTTCAAAGTACAATGCTCTAACAAGAAAAAAATATATTTAAAACGGTTTTAACAAAGCACAAACTTTAGAAAACTGTATAAATAAAAAAATGTTTGGAACCTGAAAAAAATATGTCAAAACTGCCCTTATCACTAAAAAGAAGAAATAAAACGAAAAACAAACCATATGTGAAGGTTTTTAAAGAATCTTGAAGAGCAACAAAAAGTTTCTTGATGTTGATCCAATCAAATAATTTAGACATTTGAAAAGAAAAACCCATTTGAACACTTTCATTCCATTCCATAATGAATGAAATTTAACCAAGTTGAAGGAACCACTTTGCCTAAAGAATAATCCATTTCATTCATCTATTCCATAATTGAATGAAATTTAACCAATTTGAAGGAACCAATTTCCCTAAAGAATCATCCATTTCATTCCAATAGATAAAAAATGGAATGAACCGTTCTTTTTTTTTTTTTATTCCATAATACGAAAATGTTAAAAGGGGATGTACCTGAAAATGGGGACCAAATGACCAATTTGCGCTTGCATTCCATAAACCAAATTTCACAAGACAGGTCAACTTTAACGTGGGTGGAGTTGGGAGAAAAAAAGGTACAAATAGTTGAATGAATAGTATCTTAATACATTAAGCTGATTTTTTTGGCTTAACCTATTAAGTAAGTCATTTACTCCAGATTAAGTCAAAAAGAAACAATAAGGTATAACTGCTTTGAATTTGATGCTCAACTCATTAAACCCGTTAAGTAAAAAAGAAACAACACCAATCGTTATGTCATTGGCTTACCAAGTCGGGAAGTGGTGGGTTTATGAGGAGATAACACGTATGCCAGCAACCAGATAAACACCTGCAATCAAATAAACATTTTTTATTAACAGATGGATAGATAATAATGTTGTTACCTTTCCTGTTTCAACATTTCTTATTCTTGTAATAAGCTATTATAGCTTAATGTGATAACTGTTTCCAATTACAACAATACATATCATATACATTTGAAAAGCAGAACCTTTCTATAGTGAGGTCAATATACCCTGTCAGAAACTGCAATCTGTAAATTTGAGACTACTTGACCATATAAGAACCTGAAAATGAAAGACAAATTGCAAATGTGAATATGCCAAACTGACCAACAGCAAATTTTGTTAGAATAAGAAGAGCAACCATGATCAATTCATAATTTTTTTTATGTAATTTGGGGATATTATAATCAACTGAAAACCTAACTGTAATTTAAGTCTATCTATTTGACTGGATGACCTGAGAATGGAATAGCTTATTATTGTTGTCTTCAACAATACCAACCCCTCAACACCATAAGTCAACTGAAAAGTAAAACAAAAAGAAAACTATTAACTCATGATAAAAAAAATACGATAATCCTAAATTGATATGAATCACTTCAAATTAAAGCATACGTTAAGTGTTTTTTAACTCACCGGTGTTGAAGATGACGGTGAAGATGGGCGAAACCAAAGGCAACGAACAGATGGTGAAATTGGGGGAATTAAGCCCTAATCGAAATACTTCCTGTGATGATGGTAGCGAGAATTTGAGCGAACGTCTGTAAAAAAAATAGGGGGTGTGCGCCTGTCATTCAACCACAGTTCCTGCCGGTTGAACCACCTCTGCCGCCGGCCTCAGTTCCTCTCCTCCCTATCGATTTGAGTCTGTGATGTCGCCATTTTTTTCCAACTATGAATCCAATTAGGAGGGAAATAGAGATATAGAAAAGCCGATGGACCAAACATCGGGCTGGAGTCGGTGGTGGTGTGGAGTAATTTAATCGGGAAACAGAAATGGTGGAGGACACCATAGTACTGAAGAGAGCATTACACAAATGAAGGAAGCTGCGGAGGAAAACACGTATACCCGTAAGCAAAGACGCCTCCGGCCACGAAGACCGGCAGTCCATGCCGTCGCACCACCACCACCAACAACGACAATGATTTAGGGTTCAATCGATATTCAACGAATGAGGATTTGATATGAAGACGGCGAAGCTTTCATCGATCCCCCAAGGGACGGTGGGAGGAGAAGAAACAGATATGTGATAGGCGAGTCGGTATCGGTCACACTAATCCCATTCTTATTGGGTGACAGTAACGGTGGAGCATCTTGCTGTTACACATCAAAACACCTGGATTTGAAGATACCAAGAAAGAGAAAAGCTCCAACACATTAAAACAATAGTGCTTTTACGGCCTTACAGCAAAGTAAAGGAAGAAAAAAATAATTCAGACAATCACAGCAAATACCTGTTATCAAGAAGTTTAGAATTAGTATAGTACTAGATTATGACCCGTTAGTTTAGAATTAGTATAGTACTAGATTATGACCCGTTTTAAACGCGGGGAGCGCATAAAAAAACATAGAATTGTAAACATATATTACACCATAGGAAGCATGACAATTAAAAGTATATTTTCATAGCTATTTTAAATTCATTAACATACATTACAATAGCTATTTTAACGTCATAACAATTAAAAGTACATTACCATAATCAATAAACACAAACATTATTTTCCATTCCTGGTGCACCCTTAGCTTTTCATTCGGGAAAAAAACATAAAATAGTATTTATTTTTATGTTTTAATGAAAAAAAGAAAAAAATAGTTGACTTACTAAAGTACAATGTTATTTGTTCCAAAGACTTACAACAACGGAAAGTAACACATTAATGTATTTTAGGGTAAAACCACCAATAGCTGGAAAATATGACAATTTGACTATGTAGGGGAAATTATGTCCAATATGTGGTAAATATGTTAATTTTACTGTGCAGGTTAGGTATGGAAAATAGAACTGGAGGGGCAAATATGTCAACTTGACTGTGTAAGGGCAGATATGTCCAATAGGTGGATAAAATGAGCAGTTTTTTATTTGAAAGATATTTACACTGAATAACACAAACAAACCTTCAATACCCACATAAAAATAGAAATGTGCTTCTTAGTCAGAAGTAGATTGGTATTGTGGAGTAGGTATTGAAAGTTCGTTGCCATTTTGAAATTCAATTTGTGTTGACATTTTCATGAAAATGTAATTAAAGTCGAACAA